CTGTCCTGCTGCAAGTTGTGAAATATGCAGCAGAAAACGGTAATCGAGCAGCAGAAAAAAAGGTTAGGAGTGACTGAGAAACTTGTGAGGGACTGGCGGAAAGCGGGGATGGAGAACACAGCTTCACGGTCAGCGGGCGTCTGCACCATGCAACTTTCCTCGAAGTCACTGGATGGATGGACAAAGCCTGGACTTCAGTGACAAAAGAAATTGCGTGGAGTTGCTCAGAAGTGACACCAAGGACGAAGAATTCAGTGGATTCAATGGATTTAGTGCTTTGGAGTGACATGGAGAGTTTGGTAAATTTATGTTAAGCTGTTTATGCTATAGTTATCTGAAGAACTGTTCATATGTGACGTTAACATACCAGACGCCTATTCAACCTGTTGTTCTTTATTCTATTATTACTACTATAACTTGCCTGGTTCCTGGTCCCTGATTTTATAAAATAAATTTCCCCAAAAAAGTGCGACTTGTATATGTTTTTTTCTTCTTCATTATGCATTTTTTGGCTGGTGTGACTTATACTCCAGAGCGACTTATAGTCCGAAAAATACAGTATACACTACATACTCCATATATGTCTTTTTTGTATTTTATTTAGTTTAGTTGAAAAAGACACTAAAATGTCGCTGATATTGGGACCAACAATTTACTGTGATGTTTTAATTTGTGGGAATCTGTCATAAGAGCACATTTTAACACGTTACTATTTGAGAAAAGACTGAAATACATGAAACTACTGCTCATCCAATACAAGGAACGCACTTTAATAAAAAACATGATAATTGTGATGATAAAGTGTTTTTTTTATGTACCTGTTTTGTCATAATAACTTGGCTTTATCATTCATAAAGCTTGATTTTATAGACCTGGACATTTACTAGAGGAATGATGAGCTATTAGAAAATCTGAAAATCTGTTACTTGGTGTCAATCATTTTAAAAAATCGTAAAATTGTGATATTTCTTTAAACAATACTTGTAATGCTAAAATGTGATATCGTCACATCAAATAATGTCTATGTATTTGTGACCATTTGTGATTTTGATTTGACTGTGTTAAACTAAATACTTATGAATAATAAAACTTTACATGTTTGTGTGAAACGCGAAACTGTTATCCACGTTTGTCCCACCTTCATTTTCAATAATGCATTTGAGGATCTGCTCCACCGTGTCCTGGTTTTCGTCGTCGTCATCTAGACCACAGAGAAATTGAACTGTTAAATGCTTGTTAAATGCTATGGAAGAATCATAATATATAAGATTTTGATTTTAAATTGAATAAACATGACCTGTCTATCCTTGTTTCCAATGGTACAGGGTCCCAAGTGTTTCCTGACCATCAGGTGGGTCACAAGAGATTTTTTTTTTGGGTCGCCTTGTCACGATCTGTTTATAAGTCTGAAATATACATACATACATCTCTGTGCACCCCCTGCTCCTCACTTTTTCAGCAGCTCCACCTTGCATAACCAGTTCTGTGGGAAACACTGATTTTTGGACTATAAGGCGCACTTAAAATCCCTTAATTTTCCGAAAAATCAACAGTGCGCCTTATAATCCGGTGCACCTAATGTATTAATTTTGGTGCTTACTGACCTCGAACCAACATATATTCCAACATTTATTCCACTGAGTCGTGTTCTTTAGTCCGACAGAAGGTGGGCCACAAGATAAAACTTACATTGGGATCCTCTGTTGTGTGTCCAGTGTTTTGGAGTAACAGATTACATGTACCAGTGTTACGTAATCAGAGTACAAATTATGAGTAACTGTATTCAGTTACAGTTACTGTTTGAGTGAGTGGTAATTGGATTACAGTTACTTTGTTGAAATAAATGGATTACACAGAGGTATTTTCCTGTTTTCACATTTTCACATTTTGGGCTGTGTCCCACGTCTCCTTCCGTACTGCCAAGACACCGCCGGTAAACTAGAACTAACGCCAGGACTAAAACCAGGACTAAAACCAAGACTAAACCAGGACTAAACCAGGACTAAACCAGGACTAAACCAGGACTAAACCAGGAATAAACCAGGACTAAACCAGGACTAAACCAGGACTAAAACCAGGACTAAAACCAGGACTAAACCAGGTCTAAACAAAGACTAAAACCAGGTCTAAACCAGGACTAAAACCAGTTCTAAACCAGGACTAAACCAGGACTAAAACCAGGTCTAAACCAGGTCTAAACAAAGACTAAAACTAGGACTAAACCAGTTCTAAACCAGGACTAAACCAGGACTAAAACCAGGACTAAACCAGGACTAAACCAGGTCTAAACCAGGACTAAACCAGGACTAAACCAGGACTAAACCAGGACTAAACCAGGACTAAACCAGGACTAAAAACCAGGACTAAACCAGGACTAAAACCAGGACTAAACCAGGTCTAAACAAAATTAATACCAGGACTAAACCAGGACTAAACCAGGACTAAAACCACGACTAAACCAGGTCTAAACTAAGACTAAAACCAGGTCTAAACCAGGACTAAACCAGGTCTAAACAAAGATTAATACCAGGACTAAACCAGGACTAAAACCAGGACTAAACCAGGTCTAAACTAAGACTAAAACCAGGTCTAAACCAGGACTAAAACCAGGACTAAACCAGGACTAAACCAGGTCTAAACCAGGACTAAAACCAGGACTAAAACCAGGACTAAACCAGGACTAAAACCAGGACTAAACCAGGACTAAAACCAGGACTAAACCAGGTCTAAACTAAGACTAAAACCAGGTCTAAACCAGGACTAAACCAGGACTAAAACCAGGTCTAAACAAAGATTAATACCAGGACTAAACCAGGACTAAAACCAGGACTAAACCAGGTCTAAACTAAGACTAAAACCAGGTCTAAACCAGGACTAAACCAGGTCTAAACAAAGATTAATACCAGGACTAAACCAGGACTAAACCAGGACTAAAACCAGGACTAAACCAGGTCTAAACTAAGACTAAAACCAGGTCTAAACCAGGACTAAACCAGGACTAAAACCAGGTCTAAACCAGGACTAATCCAGGACTAAAACAAGGACTACACAAAGACTAAAACCAGGTCTAAACCAGGACTAAACCAGGTCTAAACCAGGACTAAACCAGGTCTAAACAAAGACTAAAACCAGGTCTAAACCAGGACTAAACTAGGAACTAAAACCAGGACAAAACATCTTATTTTAAGATTTCCTCGTCTTTGCTACTTTACGGTAAATAGTCGCTTATTCATGGAGACTTCGGGCTCAACAGACAATATGAAGAGAACAAACATGAATTTTCAGGATGTGGTCGCTACATTCATCTAGTTTTAAAAAGCACGACAATATCAAGTCATCCAAAGTATTCAGATTACTTTACTCACCTTAAGTAACTGTGTAATCTGTAATCTGTCAGGTGAATACATTTTAAAAGTCACACTTCCCAACACTGTGCCTGGACACCACCTCAGATTCATGCAGCTAAAACCTGGAGTCTTCCTGAAGTTAAGAGACAGACCTCTACTTTGACTCTGTTTAAATCCAGGCTCAAAACGGTTCTGTTTGGCTGTGCGTGACTGAAAGGTTTTCATTCTGCACTCTTCTCTCTAATTTAATGTCTCTCTCTTTTTAATTTTATGATGACTATTTATGTTTTGATTTGTTTGTATTGTGATTTTAATGTATTTCTCATTCCGTAAAGTACTTTGGATTACTTTGTGTACCCAATTGTGCTATACAAATGAACTTGCCAAATTGCTGGAGTCAGAAATAACTCACATCGTCGGGGATCGGCCGCACAGAGCGTCTTTAGCCACTTGACCAACGTGCAAAACTTGTCGCTCCTTTTCTTTCCACAACCAACACCATTAAGTTTAGATTATGCCTCTAACGTTAAAATGCCTCAAGCTTGAGCCTTCTACAGCTCTTCACGAGTCCCATAAATCCTCCAGTAATCCAACCGCAACAACAACAACAACAACACACGGAGCCTCACCGTCCTGGTTCTCCAGCTGGTCCTCGTCCTCCAGCTCGTCCTCCATGTGGCAGCTGTAGCCCTTCTTTTTGAGCAGGTGGCAGACGAGGAAGCCGCCCAGCCCCGTCAGGAAGAACAGGAAGACCACCACGAAGATGATGTAGGGAGGCGGGTTCTCCTCCCGCAGCGCCACCTCCTGCTCGCTCATGGTGTATGCGGCACCTGGGACAACAGATACACGGTTTGTAAACGAGTTTGAAACCCCAAAACTGTCCTGTTGTTATCCTGTTATATTTTATTGTTGCTTCATTTAATTCTTTTCTTTGTTGGTTCAATTTGCTAAGCCTAAAAAATCTAAATAATCTAAACGGCATTCTTTCTTCAACCACATTTTCCGTATTCGGTTTGTCCACCTTCTGATAAATGAGAACTCACAGGCTACGTTTATATAATAACGGTCTGAACAGAAGACACAAAAGTGGCGTCGCGTCTTCACTTTTTATTTTTAGTTTAGACGAGCGTTTTCGGGAGGAAATCTGCGTGCATACGGTGACGCAAAAGGGTGTGGAATTCAATTGGGTGTTATTATTATTTGTGAAATGTGGTGCAGTACTTCAGATACGTGATTCTTAGGGTTAGTCACGGTCACTAATCTGCAGCTTCACCTCGATCCACGCTGTGTGGATGTAAACAGACACACGTGAGGAACTACTCTTGCCTTTTTACTTTCAAAGAACGCCTCAAACTGGAGTCACAGCGCTGTTTTGTGGACTGAAGTCATTATCTGCAGAGGACAAATTCTATGGATAATGTGGATGAGATGCTGCACTTTAAATGTACCACTTTATGAGAGGTGAGTAATACAGTCTTCTCATTATTTTCGCTATATCCCGAGTTTGTATTAGTGATGTGTCGGTTGCGAACGATACAGCTCTAAAAACAGGGCTAAACCAGGACTAAACCAGGACTAAACCAGGACTAAACCAGGAGCTAAGCGCGGCCGTTGCCTGATCTAACAGTGTGGTTGCCAAGTTAGTATTAAAAAACTTTTAAATGAATGCTAAAATTAGTATTGAGCATTTTAAAATCTCCATTGTTTTAAAGCAAAAGCGAGTGCCCCCTGCAGAACCCTTATGAGAAAACACAAAGCAGCTTTTTTACTTTCTTTTGTTTTTATTAATAATCCCGTAAAAATCCCAGGCCAACTCTCTTCGGTTTGTGACGCCACATCCAAAAATACATGTTTAAACTTAGGTCCCGTCCACACTAGTTCGTATTCGAGTCGTTTTCGTTGTGGATGCAGTGTTCGTCCACACTAATCCGATTGAAAATGACTCCGAAGACGAAACGATCTGGTGCTGCCAGCTCCCACGAATTAATCTGTGCACAGATCTGATCCAGCACTGTGTGGACGCCTGAAAACGCTGATACTCTGATGTAGGTCTGAGCGCCACGAAGTAATTCACCGCCAAAACACTAAGAAGCTAGAATATATTCATATATACGGTCTGTGCGTACGACCTACAGCGTATAATCTCTAAAAAGTTTAACATGAACCATCTCCAATGCAATAGAAGCACAGAACAGACTCACCATGAGCAGAACACCCCTCTGTCACAGAAAGAACACATATCGTGTCCTTTAGTCCGACAGAAACTGAACCGCATCAGCGCATCCGGAAAGAGCTGTTTTTTGAGCGTTCATTTCATGCAAATTAGCCATGCAGTTTTAAGTTTAGTTTCTGTAAAACGTAAATAAATATGCTCAAAGCTGTGTAGAAAGGAAAGGCTTGCGGACACAGAAACGACGTATCTGGACGCAGATTGTTTCCGATACAGTGATATGTGAATTTGTTTTAGTGTAAACGGGGTCTTACGGGGACTTATAAAGAGTTTAAAGAGTAAAGTTTTTTTTTTTAATATTAGGGTTTAGTGCTGACAGGGGCTACAGTCTCTATTAGGGATGGGCATGATTAATCGATTAATCGATAATTGATCATTAAGAATTTCATCGATTACGTTAATTTTAATTGACAAACTGAATGTATGTTGGTGTGTGTATCGTGACCAAACAGGTGTGTACATGTGTCTCTGCATCAGAAGGAGCGAGACACAAACAGTGGGTCAGTCTGCAACGTACCGAAGCACAAATGTGTATTTAACGATGATTTGTACAAGAAATTCCACACTTTCCGTTGCGTTCGGGACAAGTGTGAGTCCATGTGCACAGTGAACAAAGCAGCACATATGTTTCGGTGTCCAGTGGGAAAAAGTTTTACCAGGTGAAAGTTGCTCAATGTCGATGACGAGTCCCCACCTCCCTCCCCCCGTACGGTGTCCTGGGTTTGACAAACGCAAATCTGGTCACACTGACCTGTATTCACCCGAGTCATGTCTTTTAATCCGACAGAAATTGAACCACATCAGCGACACAAGAGCTGTAGTTATCTTCACTGAGTTTATGCAAATTAGCAATGCGGTTTTAAGTTTTGTTTCTGTGAGAGTTTACAAAAAACTGAATTAAACACATTATAATGTCAAACGGGCTGATGTGGCTCTAGAGTCGTTACGGTTTATATGTCGTAAAGTTGAATTTATTTATGCAGATTAGTAGTGCAGATAGTAATAATAATGATGATCATTTTAATATAAAAACGTTAATGATTAATCGATAATCGATCTTTAATTTCTTCCGACGATCGATTTCATCGAATGCCCATCCCTAGTCTCTATAATCTATAATGTGCTTTTTTTTTCACACTTGTAACGTCGTGCGAACCCATTTGTCTCAGTTTGTTCTGCTGTGTGCTGGAGAATCGAACCTTCAACTGACACAGACCTGAAGACAGAGTGTGGAGCTGGTTCAAACCATCTTCTAGGCCTCCTCAAACCCCGTCTGAAAAAGAGAGAGAGGATTTCAACAGATTTTTTTAAACAAACTTTCAACCACGTTTTAAAATGATTGACCCCCATGCCTGAAACAGAAACAGATGAAAAACTATACATTTTAAGTACTTCAAAAAATGATCTGAGAGCAAATTAGTGTAAACAAAAGCTGCATTTATCCAGCACAATCCTCGGCTGTATCATCGTTACTGCCCCAGGCCTTGGATTGTCATTTGTTCTGTGTGTTCTAAATAAGTTTGCTGACACACCTGGATTCCTGCTGTGGGAGCCCTCGTTTGTGATTGGTGGGGCAGGTCGACGCCCACCTCACCTGCAGCCACCGCCCCCTATTTAAGGAGATTACCAGCACCTGTTCAGGGCTGCTGGCCTTGGTAGTCAGTCTGCCATTTTGTTTCGTGTGTAGTTTAGTTTAGTTCAGTTTTGTGCTTTTTTAAAATTTGGTCACTTGATTCTGTTTGTGGGTTTATGTGGTTTAATTTGGGGAACTTGTGTTTTGGTTTAGTGTGTGTCCCTAAGTTTTACCACTCGTTTTTTGTAAGCCTGCGTGACCCCTTTTCTGGCACAAAACTCTGTTTATTCTGTTGTTCTGTTTCTTAGTTTAGGTTGCTTTCTGTATATTTTTAGTGTTTTGTTAATTTACCTTTACATTCCTGTTAATTAAACATTATTTAATTTATTCCATTTTACATCTTGGTTTTATTTTTGTTACTTCCCTCACCCCAAACGAGCTGGGTCGTAACAATCATCCTGCTGGAACAAACTCTCCACATCTGAATATTTTATGTGTGAATCCATTTACACAGGTACTGCCTGGATAACAGATACCAGCGAAAAGACATAACACGGACTTCAACGCAAAAGTGATTTCACTGACTATGTTTAGTGACCAAAGGCACATTTACATTACATTACATTTACTTTACTACTTTTCAGAGTACTTTTCTCGCAGCGCACTTTTACTCCCACTTGAGCAATATTTTTATTGAAGTAACTGTACTCTTACTTGGGTAAAAGTGTTGGTTACTTTTCCTACTGTGAGTAAGTATACAAGTGATTAAATCTTTATGTTCAAAATTTGACATGATTTTGCAGCGCTCCTTCAGGCATGATTTTATTTGTTTCATTTTTGTGTCCATCCTTTTGAAATATCCAATTGCATTAATACTTCTACTTGAGTAATATTATTCTGAAGTAGTGTCTTACTTTAACCACTACTTTGTACTTCTACTTGAGTAATATTATTTTAAAGTACCATTACTCTTACTTGAACCACTACTTTGTACTTCTGCTTAGGGGTGTGCAAAAATATCGACATATCGCATCGTTTAATGTGATGATACAGTATCGATATCGTGGGCTGCTGTATCGATATATCACCAAGAGTATTGTTTGGTATATTTTACAAAATTTTACTGAATTATTTGGTTACAGAGCTACAGTTTTGTTGCTTGTTCAGAGGAAGGAAACTCGTTTATGCGACACGTTTGACATTTTCACTGTTTTGATAATTATTAAAATGTTTGTGTTTCATATGAACTTTGCACAAGAAGTGGTTTAACAAAAACTTTTAGTATCACAGCCATGATTTAGTCTTTATTTTTTATTGAACCATATTGAATCATTTTGAAATATATCGTATCAAATCGAAAGTGCACTGTATCAAGATATGTATCGTATCGAGGCATGTATCGTATCGGCAACTTCTTAATGATACCCAGCCCTACTTCTGCTTGAGTAATATTATTCTGAAGTACCATTACTCTTACTTGAACCACTACTTTGTACTTCTACTTGAGTAATATTCACTCTGAAGTAACAATACTCTTACTTCAACCACTACTTTGTACTTCTACTTGAGTAATATTATTTTGAAGTAACATTACTCTTACTTGAACCACTACTTTGTACTTCTCCGTGAGTAATATTACTCTGAAGTAACGTTACATTTACTTGAGTATAATTTTTGGCCATCCACCTCGGCCAGTGACCAGATTTAAACTTTTTTTTGTTGTTGTAAATATTAGTTGATAAAATAGAAACGTTTCTGTATTTTTGTAAACCCAGTGACTCCAGTTTTGATATTAATACAACAGAATCGAATTTTTCAGCAGAAGTTGTAGTGCTTCTACTTGAGTAATGTTATTGTGAAGTAGAGTCTTACTTTAACCCTTACTTTGTACTTCTACTTGAGTAATATTGGATGGATATGAATAAATAGTCATTAAACTTGAATAAAACCAAGACAATGATGTTTGGCAAACACAAGATCAACACTGACGGATTGAAGAATAGAAACAGAAAACAGAAATAGAAAATGTAAATGAAAATAAATTCCTGGGAGTTATAATGGACAGTAAATTATCACGGAAAGCCCACATTAAATATATAAAAACAAAAATGTCCAAAAAAAGTGAAATATTACCTTGATCAAAATGCCCTTTGCACATTCTACTGTTCATTGGTTCTTCTTTATTTCACATATTGCTCCTGACGAATCCTGACCTGATCTTGTCAAATATTATACACTGGTAATTTTATTTAGAGCATTCAACAATTTACTACCAAGTCATCTACAAAACTTGTTCAAAATGAGAGAGAGAACTATGGAAATTTCAAATTGCCCAATGTTTGAACTACCTATAAATGTTTCTTTGTGTCTATATGTGGTGTAAAAGTCTGGATACACGTCTGAAGCGACGCCAAAATATCCATAAATTCAAGTTTTTATATAAACACATGGTCTGGTCAAGACATAACATGGACTTCAACGCAAAAGTGATTTCACTGACAGTGAGTGCGTATACATGCACATCAATAACCCGGTTATGATCGGGTTTTTTGAGTATCCCGGTTTCTTGATGGTGCATGTAAACGCAGTAACCCGGTTTCAGTAACCCGGTTATGGCAGTATCCCGGTTATTAGAAACCGGGTTACTGTAGCTGGTTTATTCCGATAAGTAACCGGGTTACTTGTGGCATGTATACACAGTACCCCGGTTTCTAATAACCAGGATACTGTAACCGGGTTACTGAAACCGGTTACTGCGTTTACATGCACCATAAAGAAACCAGGATACTCAAAAAACCCGTCATAACCGGGTTATTGATGTGCATGTTACACACTCAATGTTTTAGTGACCGCATAGTACTTTACTTTACTACATTTCAGATACTCCAGCGCACTTTTACTCCTACTTGAGTAATATTTTTATTGTACTCTTACTTGGGTAAAAGTGTTGGTTACTTTTCCCACTGTGAGTAAGTATACAAGTGATAAAATCTTTATGTTCAAAATTTGACATGATTTTTGCAGCGCTCCTTCAGGTATGATTTTGTTTGTTTAATTTTTGTGTCCATCCTTTTGAAATACCAGAGTTTGTGTATCCAATTGCATTAATACTTCTACTTGAGTAATATTATTCTGAAGTAGCGTCTTACTTTAACCACTACTTTGTACTTGTAAGAAGACTTAAAACCAGGGGGGAACAGGGCCTTCTCTGTGGCCGAAATGGTTTTGTTTGTAAAATGTGCTATACAAATAAAGTCGGATTGGATTGGACTGGATTGAAGACTGTAATATAATTCTGAAACAGTGTTACTCTTACTTGAACCACTACTTTGTACTTCTACTTGAGTAATATTACGCTAAAGTACCATAAAGTTACCACAGATTATATAATTTCTGGTAAGTGCCGTCCGTTACGTGACTTGTATCTGTCGTCTGTTACCGTTGTCTGTATCCTTAACCTGACCATTGTTGGTGTCCTTATGTTACACTACCAAACTACGGGCGAGTTTCAGCCAGTGTTGTTTTAACGTTTAGATCTGAAGATTAGACTAGACCTGGATTAGACCTGGTTTAGACCTGGTTTTAGACCTGTTTTAGAGAGAGACCTTTTAGACCTGGTTTTAGACCTGGGTTTTAGACCTGGTTTTAGACCTGGTTTAGACCTGGTTTAGATTTAGACCTGGTTTTAGACCTGGTTTTAGACCTGGTTTAGACCTGGTTTTAGACCTGGTTTAGACCTGGTTTTAGAGTTTTAGACCTGGTTTTAGACTGGTTTTAGACCTGGTTTTAGACCTGGTTTTAGACCTGGTTTTAGACCTGGTTTTAGACTGGTTTTAGACCTGGTTTTAGACCTGGTTTTAGACCTGGTTTTAGACCTGGTTTTAGACCTGGTTTTAGACCTGGTTTTAGACCTGGTTTAGACCTGGTTTTAGACCTGGTTTAGACCTGGTTTTAGATCTGGTTTTAGACCTGGTTTTAGACCTGGTTTAGACCTGGTTTTAGACCTGGTTTTAGACCTGGTTTTAGACCTGGTTTAGACCTGGTTTTAGACCTGGTTTTAGATCTGGTTTTAGACCTGGTTTAGACCTGGTTTTAAGACCTGGTTTTAGACCTGGTTGGGGGGGGGGGTACAGCCCAAAATGTAAAAACAGGAAAATACCTCCATGTAATCCATTTATTTCAACAAAGTAACTGTAATCTAATTACCACTCACTGAAACAGTAACTGTAACTGAATACAGTTACTCATAATTTGTACTCTGATTACGAAACTCCGGTACATGTAATCTGTTACTCCCCAACACTGATTTTAGCTGACGTCATTTTTATTAAAAGCCCGCGTTGCTGCTGGGAAATATTTTGGTCGGAGGCAAGAAACACGATAGCGTCAAACACAGTGCGTAACCTCGTGTATTTATCCCCGATAATGGTAAATTCCTGCTGCATTATCGGGATGCACAAATAGAAGCACGGAAGAAGAAAAATGTCTTTTTCATATTCTGAGTGAAAAGAACCGCTAACGGTGAATTAAACGGCTTTCAAACATCCGCAGAGCAAACGTAGAAGATCCGAGCAAACCGTGGACTCCAACAAGTTCAACAACACATCGAGACTCTTTTCATCTTTTCTGCTGTGAATGGCCCAGGAGTTTCCACCAAGTCATTGTGGATATCGCCGAAGTGAATATTTGTCCAGGTAGTT